CCCTCACATAAATTGCGAGTCCCTGCACATCTGCTAGTTGTCACCAACCAGTGCCCCTATTGCATGTCCACGTTCAAGAGCGAGGTCACGGCCAAACGTCATGTTGCCATGTCTCTAAGAAAACGCCGATGCATCACGGATTGGAGCCCATATGCACCAGAGCCCATCGTCCCGTCGGATCTTCACTGCCCCTTCTGCCTGGATATCGATACGACCCCAGAATGCTTCGTCTGTAACATGCCGCCTGGCACAAGAAAGACAGGGACCTTTGATAGCCTTGCAGAGTTACAGATACATATTCGGGAAGTACATGCACCACCAGCACCTGATTTAATTTACTACGAGACACCGCCTGATGGATCTGGCTTCTCGCGCCCTCAGCGTCGGAGGGGCCGACAGGGCCGCCGCCTTGCGCTCTCGCAGCGGGGAGCGAGGAGCGGGCGCTGCGCGGAGAGGTGGCCCGAGGCCCAGCAGGGAGCCCGCCTCCGCAGGGGGCCAACCGAGGCGCGGGCCCGCAGCGGCGCCCCCGCCCGCGGTCGCGACCGCGGGGCTGACGGTGGGGGCCGGCCTGCCTGCCCCAGCCGCGGTGGCGCACGCGGCGGCGGGAGGCGCGCTGCCGCCACCTCCGCAGCAGCAGCAGCACCAGCGCCAGCAGCAGCGGCCCCCGCAGCACCAGCGCCAGGGCAGCACCATGAACCAGATGCTGGCGCAGCTCTTCGACGCGGTCGACAACAGCTACGGCCTCAACCGCGGAGACGTCCTCCGCCTCGGGGACGAGCCCATGCCGATCGAGCTGGTGCAGGCGATCATGCCAGTACTGGTCAGGTCGATGCTGCACACGCGACAAGGGCTGGCGGCGCTGGAGTCGGTAGTCTTCAACATCGCGCACCTGCAGGCGGACCACGAAGTGTGCCAGGCGATGCGGCTGACGGGCAGGTACTTTGTGCAGGAGGCGCAGCGCCTCCGACTGCAGCATCGCCAAGAGATTCAGAATGGAGTGAGGGTCGTGGAGCTCGACAAGCTCGGTGTACCACATCCTCACTTATGGCTCACATTAGTCGGGGCATTGCAGCAGCAAGGAGATCGAGTGGGTGCACAGACGGCAGCGAGGATCAAGACGTACCTGGACACAGTGAAGGCCGACCCGTCCATGACCAACGAGACGCTGGACTCTCACTGCAGGTACTGCAAGATAGGCTTCACGCACGATCGGGCGACGATGAAGATCTTCCTGGAGGCCAGCGGGTCAGGGATCCAAGCAGAAGTACTCGCAGGCCTCGTCCAGATCGGGGCGAGCATCAAGAGAGGGACGCCTCCGAGGTCCCACCAAGAGAGGCTGATGCAGTTGGCCCTGGACGGAATGGAGCATCTCGGCTAGTGAGTGACCAGAGGCGTTCTGAGAGGCTTCCAGTTCGAGGCGCCGCTATCAGAGCGGCGCCACCGCGTCCAGCTGCACGAGTCAGCCAGCCACCAGCAGATGTTCCCGCACGAGGCGGGACCTCCTCCTCCTCTCGTCCTCGCCTCACCTCCTCCACCTCCCTTGATGATGCGATCTTCCGTCTCATTAATGGCCCCGTCAACAGGAGGGAAGGAGGAGCCCGACGGTGACAAAGCTGTTGGGGTAGCCTCAGCCCCGATTTTACGGTCCCCCCCTCTCCTGGGCCCAACTTTTTGCCTTTTGAGTTTCGGTACTGCGTTCCCGTGCCTTTGTTCCTCCCTGGGTGATCCTGGGGCCTCTCCAGTGTGTTGGTCGTTTTGTAGTTTTGTCGAGGCCTACGCGTGGCCTGGCCCCAGGGATATCTCCGAGCTGGGTTAGCCGTGGCACGCGGGCCCCCCCCCTCCGTGCGAATGCACCGCTATTCGTTAGCGCACTCTAGGCGCTTGAGCTGTCCTGCGAATGCCCCGCGTTTGAGCAGCCAGACTCGTGCACCTGCAGAGCTCCGCCGCCGCCCCTGTGGGTGCGGTGTGGGTGCGGCGTGTGGCTGGGATTGGCGTCATGTTGACAGCTCCGGTGCTCGACGCCGTCGCCGCCGCCGGTGGTGGTGCCGTCGACGTCATCGTCGTTGTCGTCGTCGTCGTGTTTGTCGTCGTCGTCGTCGGTGTCGTCGTCGTCGTCGTCGTCGTCGTCGTCGTCGTCGTCGTCGTCATTGCCTTCGTCGTCGTCCTCCTCCTCTTCCTCCTCCTCCTCTTCCTCCTCCTCCTCCTCCTCCTCCTCCTCCTCCTCCTCCCCCTCCCCCCCCATCCCATCTGGGGGAGGGGGGCCGAGGACCCTGGGACCCATCCCATCTGGGGTGGGGGTGCCCGAGGACCCCGAGCCCGCGACCATATATTCGCTGGGCTCGAATATATCAATAACTATCCAACGCCCCTTGTGGTAATTACTTGGAGATTAGTTCTCCTGGCGGTGGATAAGTAATGTGTGAAAGTTCACATCTGGCAACGACGGGGACGACGACGACGACGAACCCTCTGGACTCCTGGAGCGAGTCCAGCTGTGGCGCGTGAGGCCCAGTTGCATCGTAAAATGCCTCAAACCCCATCCTCGACCTCCTTGGCCCTAGCGACGGCGGCAGCGACGACGGCTCCTCCATCCTCGATCCCTATGGAACCTCCATCCTCACCAGAACTCCGGAGTCGTGATTTCATCCGAGAGGGCTGGGGCCCAGGATTCTCTTTTTAGTATGGGACATTGTCCCGATGCCAAGTGCGAAGAGGGCCGGCGGATTCTTTTCCTGTAAATAATAACGACGTCGAAGAGGGCCAGCGGATTCATGTCACAGGCGAAACGCTTGTATTTGAAATCCCGAAGGATAATGAATCACAGGGTGCGAGGCACTTACTGGTCCCAGAAGTCCCAGAAGTGCATTCCGTGAGTGCCCGCTCGAGGAAGGTGCATCCAAGGGGATATCTAACATGAGGTCGTCGCGCGCAAAAATGTGCGCGCGAAGGGGGTATCTAACATGCCTCTGGCGCCTGTGCACTTGTCCCGAGCTGGGAGCACGTGTTTTTAAGTGTCCAGCTCGCCCAGGGGGGGTATCTAACATGGTTGCCCCGAGTTGAGACCATGTGTTTTTTTGTTGTTCAGCCCGCCCAGAAGGGGGGGTATCTAACATGGTTGTCCCGAGCTAGGACCACGTGCTTTTACGTGACAGCCACCCTGAGCGCAGCCCTGGGAGCGCGGACGCAGCGTAGTTTACAATGGATCGTGCCCCAGGGAGAGCGGACGCAGCGTAATGTACCAGGGATCGTGGTCCAGGGAGAGCGGACGCAGCGTAATGTAAGAGGGATCGTGGCCCTGGGAGCGCGGACACATTGTAATGTGCAAGGGATCATGGCCCTGGGGAGTCGGACACAGCGTAATTGCTTAAAGATCCTGCCTCTGGGAGTGCGGACGCAGCGTAATTCACGAGGGAGCGCGGCCCTGGGAGAGCGGACGCAGCGTAATTTACAAAGGATCGTGGCCTTGGAGGCGCGGACACTATGTAATTCACAAAGGATCGTGGCCTTGGGAGCGCAGACGCTGCGTAATTAACGAGGGAGCGCGGCCCAGGGAGCGCGGACGCAGCGTAGTTTACAAGGGCTCGTGGCTCAGGGAGAGCGGACGCAGCCTAATTTACATGGGATCGTGGCCCTGGGAGTGCGGACCCTGCGTAATTTACGATGGATCGTGGCCCTGGAAGTGCGGACGCAGCGTAATTTACAAGGGATCCTGGCCTTGGGTCAGGGACGTCCCGTGGCACGTTCCCTGACGCGTTCCCTAGCACGTTCCTTGACGCGTTCCCTAGCACGTTCCCTGGCACGTTCCGTGTCGGGTCTCATGGCGAGTCCCCTTGGTACGTCGCGCGGCGTGTCTCCTGTCACGCCCCGTGGCACGTCAATTGGCACTTTCCGCAGCGCCTCCCCTTGGCACGTCCCGCGGTGCGTCCCCAAGGCACGTCCCTTGACACGTCCCTTGACGCATCCTTTGGGACGTTCCGCGGCGCGTCCCCCTGGCATGCCCCCCTGGCATCGCCCAATTGCATACGGTAGGTTTGCGTCGTGTCGACCAGCGGCGACCCCAGCGCGGGCGTTCAAGGTTGAACGCCGCCGGCGACCAAGAATCGATCGATGTTGAACGATCGGACGTTGCGGCAGCGGCCGATCGTTCAAGGTTGAACGATCCCTGTGGTGTCAAAAACCAACGCTGGGGTCGGCACGACACGAACCTGCCGTATGCAATTGAGGTCCCCAGAAACGGTTCCATGCCTCGCAGTTCTCAATCCCTTTCCGGGTTTGTGGGTCGATCCTGTTTATCAGATGTGGTCTTCCAGAGGTCTGGACCTGTTCCCGGGGATTGCTGGTTCATCACGAGTTGTCATATGGCGGTCCCGAGGCCAGGGAGGGCGCAGCGACAGGTATGTGTCCTCCTCGTTCCCCGACCCGCTCTGATCCCTAGGTCGTCCACGTCGCGGTCTGGGCCGTGGAGCTGGCCTTCCCAGGGAAGCCTCGCCAGGGCGCGAAGATCGCCGCGCACCGCGGGGTGCGACGCGCGAAGGTAACTGGGCGACCTAGATCCCCGATCCTCGTCGACCCTAGAATCTGGAGGGAACAAAACACACAGACACAATGAATCGTCGATTCTCCAGAAAACATGGGAAAGTATGGGAAGTGGGGGGGAAGACAAAAACCAAGGAAATATGGGAAAACATGGTCAATCCTGTTAGTTATTTGTGTCTACTTATTTGTGTGTCCCAGGGCCCCGTCATAGAAGCCCCCCCGACCGCCGACGGCGTGCGTTCGGCGGCGACGCCTCGCGTTGTGATGATCCAACCTACTCATAGTCTCGACCACCAGAAAAAAATCCGAGCACCAAGAAAATCTAGAAGGTCTTCACGTGTCGGGCCCTTGGAGGCGATATTCGTTCGACGCTGCTTCAATACTTGTCTGGGTGCTCAAGATTATTTCTGGGACTTGGTCGTTCTGCACGATGGGAGCAACCCAAGCCTCGCGCTCCTCGCCAGACGCCGCTGGCCCCGGCGGCGCTGGCGGCGGCGCGGACTGGGGCGGCCCCGCCCCGTGGCCGCCGCCTGTGCCCGAGCCAGCGCCAGCACCGGCGCCCGCAGCGGCGATCCCGCCCGACAATCACCCAGACCGATTCTGTCGGAGCCCCGATTCATCGGGGGCAACTTGGGCCAGGGCTAACTCGGGTTCGTTGCTCGGGAATCCGAGCCCGAGTTACCCCGGGCCCGAGTCACCCCAGGTGATTCGTGCGTCCAGAGGCCCAAATCATCAGGGGTAATTCGGGTCAGGGCTAACTCGGGTTCGTTTCTCGGGAATCCGAACCCGAGTTACCCCGGGCCCGAGTTACCCCAGATAACTCGGGCGCCGAATTCTCGGTGTGGACAAATTGATGCAGAAGGGTTTTCGTCAACTTCGGCCTCTGAGTCAACGGGCGAAGAACGGATTTAGTTATTTGTTTCCGCCGTCGGGGACGCTTGTCCCAGGACGGCTGGAAAGTTCATGCCCTTACCTTGGCACGCCAGGGCACGAATGTTCCAGCCGCCCTGGGACACGCGGCGCCCCTGGTGACGGACAAGTTTATGTTATACCCTCATGCGCCCGCTAGCTGAGGGCCCCCACTAGGCCCCCACTAGGCCACGGGACCAGCAAAAAACGACTCGGGATGAAGCACCCGTCCACAGGACAGGGTCTAGACCTCCAGGGGTCCTTGCTGTGAGAAAAATCACACGGAGGTCTGGACATGTTGACGTTGGCGACTTGACGGCATTGGCGATGGCATCAGTGACAGCGTTGGCGGCGGCGGTGGTGCGCGTCGTCGGCGTCGACGGCATCGACGACGGTGATGGCGTTAAGCGTCCGCTCGTCTTGAGAATTGAATGTAGCGGCACTAGTGCTCAAAAGAGTTCAAAAGCTTCGACTAGCGCACAAAATTGCCCACAGTGCGCCGAATCGCGCGTAGCGCAATGGCGCCATGTGGGGGAGATGCATTACGTCAGCGTTGCACGCTATTGGACGCGCTACTGTTCGCCATGTGGACGACCAAAAGCTTCCCTGAGTTGCTTACCCACAACGGCGACGACGACGACGACGACGACGACGACGACGGCCACGTTGACGACGTGGACAACGACGACGACGCCGTCGTCAACATCGCAATATTTGTCGCCATTGTCTACGTCAACGTGATTAACGTCGCCGCCGTCGTCGTCGTCGTCGGAGGAGGAGGAGGAGGATGCTCAAGCCTGTGGCGTCCCGCAGAGTTTGTTCGAAGGGTTTCGGGGATGCTACTGCTCCCCCAAACACAGGAGGCGGGCGATGCATAGCAGTTGACAAAGCCGCCCCGTTCCCGCGCGAGGAGCTGGGGATGGGAGGGCGGAGGGCGGGGGGGAAGTGCCAGTGTGTGGGGTGGGGGGGCATGCGAGTCGGAGGCAGAGCAAGAAAAGCAGAGGGGGGGGGCTGGCGGCGGCTTGATCAGCCAGGACGCCGTGAGTTGCCAGCCGCGGCAGACACGCGAGGGGAGCGCGGGCGAAGGGGAAGGAGGCACAAGGGCGAAGCGAGTCAGGGTGCGGCGACGGGCCTTGGTATTAGCGACGAGGGTGCCAATTCTCAAGCTGTACGGCCGCCCTTACGCGGGCAATCAGGCTCCCCGTCTGCAGGCGCTGCGAACGAGCCCCGAGAGCCTCCCCCACCCCCCAGAGTACATTTCGATCCGCAGATATCCGATTCGATATCGGCTATGGCCGGCTCGGCTCGATTCCCAAACTCCGACTGTCCGATAGGGTCCGATGCCCGCATTTCGTCGTTGTGCGTCTTGCCGCAGCCGATCCGATTCTACGTCGACGCCGTGCCGATGAAGCCCAATTCGACGCAGATTCGATGTTGATTGACCCTGCCTCCTCCTCCTCCTCCTCCTCCTCCTTCTCCTCCTTCTCCTCCTCCTCTCCTCCTCCTCCTTTCAGCGATATCTCCCGCCCACCTGAGACCCCCCCTGCCTTCCCTTGAGGCCTCCTGACTGCCCCGAGGAAAATGTCTTTCTGTAACCAGTCGCGGCTTTCGGTGCCCCGCTTGGGGCTTTCGATGTGCGTTGGTGGAGCTTTACGTAGACCAGAAGCCTCTGGGAAGTTCTGGAAATGTTCACAGAGGTTTCTGATTTAAAAGAAGAGATGAGTTCACAGTTGCATGAGGACTCCTGAGATTTCCTGCAGAATTCTGGAGGATTCCTGCGGGATTCCTGAAGACACCCAGGCATTCGCGATTTGGATTGGTATACGTTGGAGGAGGAGGAGGAGAGGGATGAGCAGGATGATTGAGCTTAGGATCTTTGGCGACTCCTCGTCAGTGCGTAAGCGAGGCTCCTGCACGGCGACGCCAAACCACTCGAATTAAATTATGCCCCGTCGATTTGTTCTACAAAGCATTCGGTTTCCTGTGGGGGCCTCCCTTACGCGGGTTTGCATTGCCGCCCGGTGATGATGTCGATGGTGATTTTGGCGAGGATGATGCAGAGGATACGAATGATGGCGATGCTGCTGGTGTTGATGATGACGATGATGACCATGATTATCATGATGATCATTGTGATGATGATGATGATGATGATGATGATGACGATGCTGATGATGATGATGATGATACTGATACTGATACTGATACTGATACTGATACTGATGATTATGATGATGATGATGATGATGTTGCTGATGATGGTGATGACGATGATGATGGTGATGATGATGATGATGATGGTGGTGATGATGTTGATGATGATGCTGATGATGATGATGCTGATGATGATGCTGGTAGTGGTGATCAGAACGACGTCGGTGGCGATGGTGACGGTGAAGGGTGGTGATGATTATGATGATGATGATGATGATGATGATGATGATGATGATGATGATGATGATGATGATGATTTTTACTCGGCATCAGGACCAATCAAACTGGAGCCAGCTTGCAATAGTAAAAAGAATGATCCGCCGCAGAGTGCCATGGAACTCGTGAAGCCCCGTTCGTTGGGCCGCTGTCGCGAGGGTGCTGGCACAGGGGGGCTGCGCTGCGCTGCCTCGTAACGGAAGACATATATAAGAAGAAAAAGTGTGTCGCCTCATCTTCGGCGTCAAACTCAAACGGGGCCTGCGTGCTACTCGGCTGGTCGGGCGCGCTCGATGGCGCTGAAGGGGTTTCAACTGGCGCTAGCAAAGAAACAGGCACGGGTGCTGGCGAAGCGTCAGTGGCACGCGGGCGTTGAAAAGGCACAGAGCCTGAAAGTGGCGCAACCTGCGCTGGCAGGCTGGGCGACACGAGCACTGGCTGGGCTGTACTTGCCATGGGCGCTGAAACGGGCGTGCCTTGAGATGGCGCTGGCGTGTCTAAAGAAACTGGTGGCGTGGGGGGAGCGGCACACATATGGTGGACTGTCACACCGCTCCTGGACGCAGGCAGGGATTCACCTCTGACGAAACGAATTGCTACTGCTCGAGAGTCTCCAACCAATGAGCCACTTCTTCCTCGAGCCATCCTGCTGGCGCCACTCCGCGGTGATGCTGAGCCGATCCCTCTGAGGCCAGCGCCTTCTGAATGATGAGGCGCCCCTCCCAGGTTGGGGCCCCGATGATGAGCTTCATTTTGTCCGTGTCGAAACAACTCTCGAGCCGTATGAAGCTGATGGCGGTCTGCAGATCGTCCTTGGAGATTTCCACCTCCGCGTCTGGGTCCAACGGCTGTACTTTCTCGAGGTACGTGGCGATCTCTGCCTTGAGCGAGCCCCCGATGTCGCATTTCTGGAGGCTCTCGAGGGCTGCGAGGCCCAGCGCTGGGGCGGGAGAGCCGATCTCCTTGAGCCTGGCCTTGTCGGCGGCTTCTCCGCTCCTGCGAAGCTGATCGAGGAGCTGCTTGTAGCCCTCGAGCTCGTTCGTGATCCCGTCGATGACGGGGTGCTTGCTGCTCATCGTGTACGTGTCGATGCCGATGCTGCTGTTGAGTCTGGTCTTGTGGGTGGTCTGGAGCAGCAGCTTCAGCGTGGATCGCAGGAGACTCAGAAGGTTCTTGTCCTTGCTGCTCCAGACCTTGTCGTTGTGCGCGCCGCGCCTGGCCCTGCGGCCGCCCCTGCGCTTCCTGCGCAGGCCCTGCGCGCCCGCGGCTGCGGCCTCGCCCTCGTCCTCGTCCGCGGCCGCTGGGGGGCGCGGGGACTTCGAGCGCTGGCCTGCTAGCGGCTGCCGCGCTGGAGGCGATCGCAGGCGCGCCTTGGCCTGCGGTGGCCCCCCTGGCTTGGAGGCGCTGCCAGATCCCTTGGAGCCCGCTGAGGAGTCCAGGGGGATACGCCAGGGCGCCCGAGACGCCTTGGCTGGCGTCGGCGGAGGGCCCTTCCCCGCGGGCGGCGCCGTCGCCGCGCCTGCTGCTCGTTCCTCGCTGGTGGCTGCGGCTGCCGTCATGCTGTTCGGGAAGCGGTGGGAGTGTAGGCGTCGAAGCTCTGACCTCGCTGCTCACGGGCTCACAAGCTGGGGGCACTGGCGTGTCTGCACGTCGAGAGGCCCTGCGGAGCTGTCGGCGTACGTCGAGCGGATGTCCTGGCCTCAGGATAAGGTCGGCTGATCGACGCAGCCCTGCCCGTACACCAGCGGTGTCCTCGATCACTCGCGGCCGCGGGTGCTGTGGATGGCGGGAAACTCGCAACACTGGGCTCGATCGAGTCGAGCGGAACTCCGCCCTGAGAACTGGTTTGGGCAAGGAACCCGATGGCGACGCCGGGAGGTGAGAGAGAAGGTGTCTCCGTAGCTGTTCGGGGGCCTGGTATTCATGATGACATGCGGGGTCTAGATCATATTCACGAAGAGGGCATGTAGTGCATGTAGTACATGTGGCTGGAACCCAGGGATAAGCATGGTGAGTAAGTTCAGGTATGCATCGGCCCGCATGCCAGGCCCGCCTTAAAGTGTCGTACTGCATGGTCTCTGTTAGGGAATGTTGTGCTGCATACTAGGCATCTGTTATCCACCTGTAATGTAGTTAAGATAGACGGCATACCATGTCCCACTCCCCTCGATTTAGTTTGATGCGTAACGAGCTGTTTCAACGTGTTGAAGCGCCTACCACAA